ACTCTTCGAGCTATATCCTTGTCATGTCCCGTATCCCTTTTTAAAACGCTTTTATTAGCTTGGTATGTATCTATGTAACGAAATTTTTGAATGTGATTTTCATCCCCTTTTAAACGTCGGATTGATTTGAAACTTCGCACACTTATGAAGGATCGATGACAACGCAATAATTTAAATAGTTTACCCTTATACTTATCCTCAAGATTTACGAATAATTTATAAAACAACTACAATTTCTACCAGTACAACATACTGTAAGCTGCGTAAAAGAACTTCGTTCCAAAAAAAAACACAGTTTTGTAAATAACCGACCTAAAAAGTAAAAAATTATTTTCAATAAGGTCAATATAAGAAAAAAGCTGTGCTTGATGTCATTTGTTTGAAAAAGCACCCCGTTCTTATTACAGTAAAATTATTTTTCATATTAATCACTATTTTCTTATTTAAAACTTATTGGAAATTATTTTCTTCTTTTTAGTTCGGTTATCTACAAAAGTAGGTATGTTCTTTTTTTCTAATATAATATGAAACATAAATAAAATAATTTATACGAGTGTCTGGAAGAGTCAATTCGACAAGAGCATTCCGGTTATTTGGTATGAATAATGAGGAATTTGTTTGTTCGGTATTCACTTAAACTCGCTAATGGAATAAGTAATCTAACCATGCCTCACACGCTCAAAGCGATTACATAATGAGTAAGCGAATTACAAACAAAGTAATAAAACATTTTCAAATACTGATTCGCGTTAACCATGTACTGACGGTGTTAACCATGTAGTCGTGGTGTGAGAATAACTAACTAAACTAATCCACAACCGCATAACGTCAGAGATGGGAATCAGTAACCACGCGATGTGGTGTTCGCCAAATTGTACACAAGACCGAAGAGTACAATCTGCCTTTTGTATTGCGTATGTGGACTATGAGAAAGCCTTTGATTCCGTCGAAATTTGGGCGGTGCTGCAGTCCCTTCAGCGGTGCCAAGTTGACTGTCGGTATATCGAAGTGCTGAAGTATTTGTACAGTAGGGCTACGATGGCTATCCGAGTACAGAACTATGTTACGAAACCTATCCAACTGCAGAGAGGTGTAAGACAGGGTGACGTATTATCTCCAAAACTCTTCACCGCTGCATTGGAAGACGTTTTCAAGCTACTGGACTGGAAAGGATACGGTTTCAACATCGATGGCGAGTACATCACTCACCTTCGATTTGCCGACAATATAGTCCTTATGGCAGAATCGCTGGAGGACCGAAGCACTATGCTCAATGACCTCGATAGTGTCTCCCGACGGATAGGTCTTAAGATGAACATGGACAAAACAAAAATCACCTATGCCGGTAGTTGTTGGGAGCACTAAGATCGAAGTTGTTGACGAATATGTTTACCTGGGACAAATAGTCCGACTAGGTAAGTCCAACTTCAACCGAGACGTCAATCGACGGATTCAACTCGGCTGGCCAGCGTTCGGGAGATTACGACATATCTTCTCGTTAGATATACCTCAAAACTAGATTGTTCAACAAGTGCGTGTTGCCAGTGATGACTTACGGATCTGAGACGTGGTCCTTCACTGCTGGCAGTATGAGGAAGCTCAAAGTCGCTCAGCGAGCTATGGGAAGGGCAATGCTCGGCGTTTTTCTGCGTGATAGACTTAAAAACGAACATATTCGCAGTAGAACCACATACCCAAACCGACATAGCCCAAAGAATTAGTATGCTGAAGTGGCAATTGGCCGGCCATATAGCTCTAAGAACCGACAACCGATGGGGAAGAAAGGTTCTCGAGTGGCAGCCTCGTACCGGTAGGCGAAGTGTAGGGCGACCCCCCACGAGATGGAGTGACGACCCGGTAAGACATGCAGGAAGTCGATGGATGCAGGTGGCTCAGGGTCGTGCTTTGCGGCATTCCTTGGGGGAGGCCTATGTTCAGCAGTGGACTTGTGAAGGGCTGTAATGATGATGATAATGATTTCCATAGCATAATGTCGAATGGTAATTTGTTATGGGGACACGCAGCTGACACTGAAATTATATTTGTTTTACAGAAGACGGCCATAAGAGCAATTTATGATTTAAAGCCTAAAGAGTCGCTGCGACAAAAATTTAAGGAAATGAATATATTAACTTTGGCCTCTTAATACATTTATGATAATGTAGAAAATATACAAAATTTGACCTGCTCAAAGTTCAAAAACTTTATTAAACTAAGTTTGTACAAAAATAGTTATTGTAATATTAAAGAATTCATGGATGATAATAACCCCTGGAAATGAGGTGATCGCTACCAAGCTATTTCTAATTTGTTGTGTTGTTAATTGTGTAACATACATGATAGTAAGCTGTTATTTAAAAAAAAATCCCGCTGGGTTTCTTGCTGGCTCTTCCCAGGACAGAGGGTTTTTTTTCGAACCAGTGGTAATTAAACAAAAGAGTGACTTTCAATAACTATTATTTATAATCTATATTGAATAAAAAAGTTTCTGTTTCTGTTTCGTGTATATCTTAAAGATGCACTGCCGACAACTAACTAACTAGGTGGATAGGGAACTGTGACTTTTTTATACGGACTTGGAATGTTAATGATTTCATGTAAATTGTATTATTTTTAAAACCGGAACGCTTTTAGTATTTTATGAATACCACTCCCTATAGGTCTGCTTGGAAAATAAGTCCTTCAGTTACCATTCTCATAATATTTGGGCCCATTTTTAATAGTTATAGCGGTCTAACAACAGACTCACTTAATATGGCCATAATATCAAAAATACCCCATCTAAATTATTTTATTGTGTTGGCATCTACGGAATTCTACTTATCCGATTTTATTATTTACTAGCTGTGCCCGCGGCGTAGCTCGCGAATATAGGTTTTACTTAAAGAATTTGACGTTTAGGGTAAGAGAATATTAAACGATTTATATCAATACTGTATGAATAAGTGGTAACAAAATAAATCGATACGCTCAAAGTTCTAAGTCGTTTATGATAGAGCTTCCGTGTAAACGACGATAGAAGTAGACTTAGCCGAGGCGTACAGAAAAAGGTTGGCATAGAGTTGGCCATGTGCAAAACAATCAGTACTGGGGTCCACTCCTACAACGCGTAAAGTTTGACCTTGCGCTTTATTTACGATCGTCGCATAACACACGCTGAGTGGGAAACACACTTAAAATAAGGATGTTAGATGATCATCGATGTTAAAAATTAAAACTTCGATGTTTTAACATCGATGTTGACACATGTCAAACATCGAAACATCGACGTCAATGAACCCATAATCGATAATTGGGAACTTGCAAACAATGCGAACTCGCGAAATCAATATCAACTAAATCTTGCATCTGCTCTGAAGATTAAAAATTTTGAATAATTCAGAATTCCTGAACGCATCGTTAACCTAAAAAAATGTCAGTATGGTGAGTCAAACTTAATTGTCAAGTGTCACCTGTGATGTCACAATGGTCACTGCTTTCGCTTTATTTTGTAGTGTCGTCGTCGGTTGTCGCATAATAACTATTCTACGTAAATTGATATTCAAGTTAATAGTTACTTTTCCCTTGATGTGTATACCCACATAATTTTGAAACAATGTGTAAGTATCTACACATATACAAAAACCATCGATAATGGTCATCATCGATGTTTTGAGTAGCCTAAACATCGAACATCGATGTTGAGCTATCGATGCCAACATCGATGTCATCATCGATGTTATTATCCCTATCTTAAAACTGTAAGGAAAGTTATTTGGTATTAGAGGTTTAGAGGGATTCTGGGTATAAAACAATATCACGACATTTATTGCAAATTTACTACTTTTAGTCGAGTTTTCGAGATTTGTTGAATAATTTCGACGTACGCGGTACGTCTCTTTTTTCTGTTTCTGTCTGTGTTTGTGCTTTGTGTTGTTAGCCTACACGGCTCTAACAGTCTTGCAGCTTCGTCGAACTCATGAAGATAAATTTTTACAGTGAGTGTCAATACGATTCACCTGCGAAAAATCTTAACACCGCAATTCAGAAAAGGTTGTAATTTGTACAACGCCATCTATTACGTTCTTTGTGAGAAAACATCCTTTTTTAATTTAAGGAAAACATATTTTTTTTTACTGTGTTTTAAGTATAAATATATTATAATAGAACGTTTTTTTTTTACACACGTATCTTTTTATTACTATTTCTGAGATTTTGTGGCGCCATTAAACAAATTCGAACCTACATTTCAAAATAATAATCATAACTTTCGATAGAATTAACCAATTTTAATAAAACAAAGATTAAATGTAACTCGAAGAAACGCTTTATGATTTTCTTAACGATTTCTTTGAAAAAAAAAGATGTTTACTTTAGACGTGATGCTTTCATATAAAAACAGACAAAGAGACAGAAAGACAATTCTAAAAATTATAAAAATGTACTTATTTAATTATTTTTAGTTCCCCATAATGATTTTAGTCACCATAATATATATATACAATGTACAGAAAGAGACACATGTTATCATCATTTTTATTATATGTATATATTTAAAGAGAGATGGCGCTGCTAACATCCTCAAGAGAACAACTCAAACAAAGCCACCGTTGAGCAAATTCCCTACCCATACTTGAGAATATTTATCATAACTTTTGATGGAATGAACCGATTTTAATGAAATAAAGACTAAATGTAACCCGAAGGTTTACTTTATAATTTCCTTAACAATTCTTATGATATAAATTAGTACTTTAAACGTGATACGTTAACAAACAAACAGACAGACAGACAGACAGACAGACAGACAGAAAATTCTAAAAATGGTAGAAATGTATTTAATTACTTATTTTTAGTACCCCTCAATCACTTTTATTACAAAAATATAAAATGTACAGACATCTGCTATTTACAATTTTATTATATGTATAGATTTTGGACACCTGTCGTCTTTGGATTTTTTTTATTGCCGTAACAGTTCTCAATAATTAAAGATAAATAATTTTATATTCGTTTTGCAGGTCAACAACCAAAGAGCACATACCTCTTGCTCGGGAATGTCTCACTCGCCGATACCATCATCGGTATCTCCATCATATTTGGGGCTAGTGTAGAAAACACTACGAGCTCTAATCCACTATGTATATTTCAAATAGGTGAGTTTTTCAGTTTGTGTTATTATAAAGAACATTTTTACAATTATACACAAACCAGTGCTTGACATGAAATGGTGGTGTAGTCTTGAGTGGCAAAACGCAAATTAATGAAGTGAAGACGTTAAAAAAATTGTTGCAAGTTTACAACTTACGCAATTTAACTAACGACGAAGTTAAGCCTACCTACGACATGACTGTGCTGTAACTTCGACCGCGCACACTTGCAGATCTATAATAGTGGTCAAGTAGTAGCTATCGAAAAACAACTATAAACTTAGTTTTTTGCTATTATCTCGAAATCTATGTGTTATATTATGGAAAAATGGTTATAATAGAAAACAAATGTCTATTAATTTTACGTAAAAAAGTCTTATCATTTTATCTTTTCATCCTTATAGTTAAATTGTAAAGTGGCACTGAAGTAAAATAATGTTGAAAATCGATTTTGTCTCAAAACTCTAAAAAAAAGAAAATAAATTACGGACCTTTTTTGTATAAAATTACAAAACAAAAATATTTTATTTGAAAGTGTGGTATATCATCGTACCTATAGTACCTAATGCCCGTGCAGCAGACATCATTAATATTATGATAATAAAAATTATATAAATATTAATATTCATTCGTCTACCCTAATATAATACAATATCAGCGTGGCCGAATGAATGCCCTTTAGCGTGACTAAACATATACATTACAATATTACTAAGGTCATTGTTGAAGTTATACCTCTTTTGGCGCGTTTGATAAAAATTATGAGAATGATTTTTTTACACCGACACCTCAAAATGAGACCATGAAGTTGTTATGATGCACGCGCACACCGAAACCTAAAAGCGACATCAACTTCATTTGGCAATTCTGTGAACTAAGTTTTCGCGAAAACTGATAACTATATTCAAGGTAGTTATTTTTTAATTATTTTTGTTTAGTACGCTAAAGAAGTATAACTTCTTACGTGCGTACGTACATAAGTACACCTACACATTTTTTTAATTTTTTTTTATTAACTGTCAGCTGTTATTACCATTATGTTAAAATAAATAAATGCTGAAACAATCTCCGCAGGTATGCTTGTTTGCCCAGCGATGGTGTCAATCTTCAGCGTGGGAATGATTGCTGTGGACCGTTATATCTACATATTACACGGACTCTATTATCAAAGATGGTTCAATACCACTAAAGTGAGGATAGGCATACTTTGCATATGGATGATCGGTAAGTGATACTTTGCACCCACTAACTTAAATGTTAAATGTCTAACACGCTTTTTGTTACTTGTGTGTAACCCATGTGCACCTTATAATTGTATTGCAGGAGTGACCCTTGGATTTATGCCCGCTAGCGGATGGGTGAACAAGGAGATGATGATTGATTCTAAATGCTCCTACGTTTCTTTATTCCCTGGAATGCTCATTCTACTGAATTCTCTCTTAAGTATAGTACCTATTATACTCGTCGCTGTGTTGTATTCCATAATCCTCGCGCAGGCTTTGAAAAACGTAAATCAAATTAATACAACTAAGAAAACTGTTAGAACAAAATCGCCCAACGATGATCCAGAAATAAGAATATACCGCGGTAACAAAACTGCAGTTCATTCAGTAAAATTCGTACCAAAAGAAAATAAAACAACAATCAAAAGAAGCGCTTCGTTTGACACAATTGATGTTTTTAATAAATCGTATAAATTAAAAGCGCCAAAAAATATATCGAAAAGTATACATAACTTAAGCTCTAACAAGGAAGACAAGGAAAAAACTAAAAACGATAAGGACTACGCGATCTCTACAAATGGACACTTGTTAAATTTAAGTACTTGCACAATTAGTTCTTCTACTATTCTAAACGAATCCATATCTGACATAAAACCATACACAATCGCTAAAGCTATAACGAACTGCAAATTGCGTTGTATAGAAAAAGTGAAGGAGCCGAACAAATGGAGAGCCGTTATTATAGTAATGCTGACAACGGGTAGCTTTGTATTTACGTGGATTCCATTTTTTATTACAGTTATATTTTATGTATTCTGCGAAGAGAAATTGATAAATCCCAAATGCATGGACTTAAGAATAATGCTTGGAGGTCCGATAGCTGTTTTAGCATTTTGTAACAGTATACTAAATCCTTTAATATACGCCTGGTGGCATAAAGGATTCCAACGGACTATAAAGATGTATTTTCAAAAGTATTTGAAAAGTATTATTAAGAAATCTTAACTCGTATGGATTTTGTATAAATAAAATATTTCTTACATTAATATGAGGTATTGGTAAATTGAGTGGAATTTCATTATATACTTGGGTAGAAAATGTTTAACGCACTTGAGTGCTTCACAAGGTTAAATCATAAATTAAGTTGAGACACTTTTCCGAGATTCGTCTGAATTTTAATTGATTTTAGATTAAAGTGAATGTTTGTGACATAATTTGAGATAAAATATGTTTAAATACCTAATTTTAACTGATTTAGAAAAAACCTGTTCCACCATAACATTTAATCATATCATTTTAGATGCACACAAGCAAAATTTATTGAAGTTTTGTAAACATATAGTATTTGTTTTATGTTGCAAAAAGGCTCCGTGAATAAAATATATATTATTTTATATATTTTATTCACGGAGCCTTTTAAGTAGCTAACGCACAAGATCGACTAACAGCACTTTCACGATTTTGCAAGCTAGCACGGCAAATTTACTAAGAATCACTAAGTGTTCGTAGAACATAATTATGGTATGTATGCAAAATTATAATTTAGTATTACAGTCTTTGAAAAGACCACTGCTGAACCTAGGCCTCCTATACTCTGCCTTATAAGTGGATAATTGCCAGAGTTGCTACGCTTGGCAACCGCACATTTACATTTAAATTTACATTTAAATGTAATGTTTTTTGCTGTAATTTTGACATTATAAACAGACACTTCAGTTTTATTTATTTGTAGAGATTAAGAAGAAGCTGAATTCTATTTCTTGGTTTGTTTCCCTCTGCCGCCTCTTGCGACACCCACGAAACAATATGGGGTATTTAAAATATTAACAAGTTACATTCCTGGTAAAAAGTACTATTATATTATCGTAAATATAAAATATAGCGTGTTGTAGCGGTGTAAGGATATCTTTACACCGCTACAACACACTATATTTTATAATTACGATAATATAATAGTACTTTTTACCAGGATTGTTACCTGTTAATATTTTAACGCCACCCTATTTTTTATCCTTTGAGAATAATATATATATATATATATATATATATATATATATATATATATATATATATATTTATATATAATTATTTTATATTTATGAGAATACCACTCTTTATCTTAATCAACCCGTAAATGTCTACAGCTGAACATCTCTCCGTTGTAGTACCTAAGGGTTTGCCATAATTGCCGCGGATTGGAAATTGCAGTTCTAACTAAATGTTTCCCATTTTTGACTCTGATCTTCGCCACCGAAATATATACTAATATTACGTATAGTGAAAATTAGATAGTTACAAGATCGTTTACGGAAAATAAAACATAACTCTTTTTGGAATTTCCCACAGTCATGTCTTACGACACCCGCAGTACAAAACAGGGCGATAGATTCTCTTTCGCTGCCACTACACGACTTTGCCTTTTGTCTTACAACTGATGGAAAAGCCGGCCAAGTGCGAGTAGAACTCGCGCATGAAAGGTTCCGTACGACCGTAAAACACGTTTGTATTAGGGGAGCTTCCTTTAAGTTTTAATTTATTTTTATTTTTATTATTTTATAGTTATAGCGGCAATAGAATTACACATTCTGTGAAAATTTCAGCTGTCTATCTATTACGGATCATGAGATACAGCCCGTTGACAGCGAAGGCTTAGTAATAAGGTCCCGTTGGTTACCAATTGGGTACGGAATCCTAAAAAGGTTCTCTAGTGACAGCTTTGTACTGGTAAGCGCAGTTTTGGGTGACCTCCCACTAGATGGAGTAACATCCTCATGAAACTCTACTTAGGTAATCGATAGATGCAGGTGACTCAGTACCTTACTTTATGGCAATCTATGGGAGATGCCTATCTTGAACTGTGAACTTGTGATGGATGTATTGAGAGTGATAGAGATGGAGTTTAAACTCAGTTATCGCCAATTACGTAAAGTAACCTTGTGAAATTTTATTTCGACAAACTTTTTGCAGGTTTATTTATTGCGAGTTTGCCAGCTATGGGGTGGACAGGGAGCACCTTCAGAGACTACAGATGTTGGTACATTGCAGTTTTTCCACCGTCCCTTCTCATTATCATCTCGCTTATGGTATTATCAGTGATCATAATAGTGTGCGTTTTGTACATTATTATTCTACACAGCGCTGTTCAAACTGTCGACAGAATCAGAGAGTTTCAAGAATGTCATACAATATCATACATTAATGAAGCGTTCAATTACAACGACCATGTCGATACACCCATTCACGAGAGGTCAACAACGACAATAACAATTAAGATTTCATCGCAAACAATTATGGAATTACCGGAGAAACCCGTAGAAATACAGGAATTAAATGAAACCGGCAGTGAAAAGAAGCACGTCAGTAAAAAAATAAGAAAGAACTTCTTCAAAATATCCCGCTACTTCTGCAAGTCAAGTACAGTCAACACACTACCGCGGAAAATTAAAGCTGTGAAAACTGTACTTCTAATATTACTATGTTTCGTTGGTACTTGGACACCGTATTACGTCGCAATAATATTATACGTAAAATGTGACATAATTAAAAATGGTTATGACTGTATACCTTTAGAAGTTTTAACCTTAGGACCACTCTACATACTAGGTGTCAGTAACAGTTTATGCGACCCCGTTATTTACGCTTGGAGACATTCAGGCTTTAAACGAACTATAAGAAAAATTTCCGGAAAGTTTGGCATTAAATGTTAAAATATGAAATTTAGTTTTAATGTGTAACAAAAAGTAACTAAACAAACAGCATGATAAATGGGTATGTGCTTTGTGTCCTCACGACAAGATAATATTATCAGATTTCTTTTAAACTCGAAAAATGGAAACGAAATGTTATTGGTTTATTCATAATTATTCTTATATAAATGTATAAAGTTATAGATTTTATAGGTAGTTTTAAAATAAAAACTATATCACTGTTTTAAAGTTTTGTATAATTAATGTGGTCAAGTTATTAGTATTTTCCTCGTTAAGGGTAAAGTGTTTATCACTTATTTTAAAATAAAAACTGTATCATTTCTGAAACATAGTATCATTATTTTTTTTTAAACTTTGTAATGTGTTGTAGGCCTCTCTCCGCAAACACAATAAAAATTTATCCGAAAAATAGCCCTAAACATACACAAACTATTGGCAATAAATTGGAAAGAATGTTAGACTATGAGGTTTGTATGCTCGAAGGGTTGGGATACAGAGCTATTGAGAAGACGCGCACCTGCCGTTATCGTGATAAAAGGTGGCAGGTGGTGACTTGTCGCTTACTTAACTGACTGCGATGTGCAACATTGGTGTAAACGGATAACAGTGTAGAAAGATGAATCTACTGACTGAAGATTGAAGATTTTAGTACACGCTCTCACAGAATACCAGCGTAAAATAGAAGTTTAATGCCGTGTTTCGTTTGGTGAGTGCAGAGAACCGGAGACCCTTTTTACTGGTTAAGAGGCATTCCACTGTATTTTGATTCTTTATTGAGGATAGATATAGATGTCTATGGGCCACACTTACCATCAGACTGTACAAAGACCTTTTTTTATAGGATAAGGGTGACAAACGACTACACAGTCCAACTAATGGTAAGTGCATACTGTAGCCCATAGACATCTACATTTATTCTCGACAAAGATTCAAAATGCAGATGCGTTATCACTCCTGAAAACTAAGATGGAATGCATCGTTTACAGTATAAAGTAGAGAACCTTCTTCCGAGGTTCTATACACTCAGAATATGAAACACAGCGACTTTAAGCTGCTATTTTATGCTGACATTCTGTGAGATCGCGGTCCTTCCCCGGTTGAGACGAGCCATTCTTAACTGACGATAGTTATTAACTGAGGATGGACCATAGAATCCAAATGGATTCTATGGTAAGTACCATCAGGTGCTCGTTTGTCACCCGTTTTATACATATGTTTAAAAAAAAACACGTTTCCCATGAGGCTGGTTACTTTATTTTCAGACTCAATCATACAGACAATATATAATTATTATATATTTATATCATCATATAGAAAATATAATTTACGTTTTTTTTTCTATTTACAGAGCAATAGCAGGCAATAGCGTTTTAGGGCTTATCAATAAGAGATCTGAAATAACAATTTTAATCCGTAGTAGAGCCATGCTGCTGCTATATTAGTAGTGTAGTTGTAGTACGAATGGGTCAGCAGACTGGGGTAGGACCACGCTCTCACAAAATACCAGCGTAAAATAGCAGCTTAACACTGCTGTGTTTCGTATGGTGAGTGTAGAAAACCGGAGACCCTTTTTACTGGAAAAGAGGAATTCCATCATAGTCCTCACGGGTGACAACGCATCTGCATTTTGATTCGCAAACAAGGATGTATGTAGATGTCTATGTGTCACAGCAACCACTTACCATCAGGTGGACTGTATGCTCGTTAGTCACCTTATCCTATAAAAAAAACAAATAAATTAAAATAAAAAAATAAGCCTGCATTAACTGTTACGAAATTTGCCTCAATAATTCATAAGAATTACAAATGGTTGCCGAAAGTAAAATTATATAAACAAGAAAATGTCTTCGGTTGCTCAAATGATTATAAAGTACTGTTATTACTTATCGCGACATCTTTTACGTACCAGATACCTCGCTAATGTAACGCATCGCATTTTACGCCTGCTATAAAACTGAAAATATTGCTATTTACAACATTACAAAATAAATTGCGTCATAGCATAAGTACATTATCTTCTAATAAACTGAATAATTCGTAATAAAGTTTAGATTGTTCATATTAATCTGCATTTTTTTTCTACCCTCTTGCGATAACATGTACAAGGGGGTTAAAAAAATTTTTTATTTAATGGGCTGCTGCAGACTGATGATGATAATGAAACGCGGAATAAAAAATAGTTTTATGTCATAAAATGAAATCCAATGAGAATGGATAAAATTGAATTATTTAACAAAAAGAATTAAACTGTTATTAACCAAGTAAGTTGTTCTTTGTCGGTCAATGTTTTTCGCGATGACTTATCATTAATCTATGGTTTTTAGAGTTCGTTGCCCACAGTCCGTCTGATGATAAGTAAATGCTATGGTCCATATGAGTCTACATATACCCTCAATTGACAATGCACCTGCATTTTCACACCTGAAAATTATTGGAATTACCTTGTAATCAGTAAAAAGGAGTTACGATTCTCTTCATATACTGATACGATACACAGCAGCTTTGTGCACTCATATTCAGTGTACAGAGCTGTGGTAGCCTAGGTCTTAATTATTTACTGCAAATTTTACGGTTGCGAGCGGGGAACACATATACTTATTGCAATTTAAAGTGCTGAATTATTACGTGGGTAAAAAACTGACTTACATGTCGGAGAAATTTAAAAAACACGCATTGGGGCAGCGTGGCGGACATTTGCTTGCCCCAAAACCAGAAATGAGAAGATGTCTGTGCTTAGCAGTGTGACGTAAATTGCCTGTAACTTTACTTATTCTGTTTGAGCCTGTTATACATCAACAGAGTGCCACTACCCCATAAAAAGTTTTATATCCTAAAAAGAAAAAGATTTAAATCTAAAAACTAATGTCAATTATTTATCCGGTTGTGAAATGTACCTATTTTCACTAAGCATAGTATCATATTTTATTAGGTACTTATCTATTTTTTATTGCAGAGCTTTATTATCATCGGATCTCAAATACGATATTATATCTTAAGGATTAATCAACGAATATTTACACTGTAAATATGGCAATGGTACAATAACGATGGTTCTGGCCGATTCCAGTGTGGCTGATGCCATATCAGATACGTTAAATACACTGGGAAGTGAAAAAAACCGATATTCACCCAGAAAACAAGAGAAATATTTTAAATTTTAAATTTCCATGTGTATGTGTATGTGTATGTATGTATGTATGTGTATGTGTGTGTGCGTGGAGAATCTGAAGAGTTGTACGATGAGGCTATAATGGTTAGATTGGGAATAGTATTTTCTAACAATGGTATTAACTTCCCGATGTTTCTACATAATATCTCCACAACATGTAGAGTCCAATTCTAATATTTTCAAAAAGATGTGTGTGTGCTTGTGCGTGTGTGTGTGCGTGTGCGTGTGCGTGTACGGGTGCGGGTGCGTGTGCGTGTGCGTGTGCGTGAGCGTGTGCGTGTGCGTGTGCGTGTGCGTGTGCGTTTGCGTGTGCGTGTGGGTGTGCGTATGCGTGCGTGCGTGCGTGCGTGTGTGTGTGTGTGTGTGTGTGTGTGTGTGTGTGTGTGTGCGTGCGTGCGTATGTGCGTTCGTGCGTGCGTATGTATGTGTATGTGTGTGTGAGTGTGTACGATATCTTTGGAACGAATCAACCGATCGATATGGGCGACACGGCGTTCGAAAGTGTTCATTGAGATTTGAACTGATTAGATTTTCAAGTCAATGGGTGGAGCAGTTTCAAAAGATTTTCAAAAAATTAAAACAAAAAAAAAACAAAAATTAAATGGATTTTCGATCGCTGCGCACGAAAATAATCGGGAAGTTCCAGGGACGGCCTGCGGGGTCAACCGTTTTTCAGATTTTTTTTATTATTTTTAGTTATTATATACCACAGTCTTGAATTGGACAGTTGGAGAGATAAAGAGTCACCATTGCGGATATTCTCATTTTTAAGTCTATCACGCTGAAAAACCCTGATAGTTTTTATACTCGATATCATTACTTCAGTTCTCACTCACATCATCAATTTTTCACTTTCTACTGGTGTTTTCCCCAAGTTATAGCAAGTTTTTGTCTTATCCGTTGCTAATGTACCAAATCCATCGCTTTCTTTCCATTTTAGACCTATTTCTATACTGCCGTTTCTTTCCAAAGCCCTTGAATCATTGGTCCACACACAAAACAAGTCACCTCTTTCATTTCAAAATGCAACTTAACATATCAGTCTGGCTTCACAACCACAACTAAACCACAACATTACTTCAAGTCACAGAAGACTTTACAAAAGAATCATCGAAATCGGTTGACGTAGAACAAAGTTATGAGGTAACACATATAAAAAAAAACATACAGTCAAATTGAGTACCGTCTCCTTTATGAAGCCAGTGGAAAAAGGGCAAATGCGACTCGAGCCGCGAAAAAAAATTGTTACGTTTATGGACCTAATGCAGTGGCAGTAAAAGTAGCACAAAGTTGGTTCAACCGTTTTCACTCGAGAATTTTGATGTCAAAGATGCAGCTCGCTCTGGTTTCCCTCATACAGGTAAAGACGATGCCTTTTTTTAAAAAGTAGAGCAAGACCGACATATTAGTAGTTACGACATAGCCGAGGAATTGAGGGTTGACCACAATACAGTTTTGATTCATTTGAACAAGTCTGCCTTTACAAAAAAGCTCAATATTCAAGGTACCACACGAGCTCACTGAAAGAAAGCTAATGAATCGTGTAGCTACTCATTTGCTTTTCTATATTAAACCATTTTTGAAAAGATTGAGCACCTCTGGCGATGAAAAGTGGATCACCTACGACAAGAAAGTGAGAAAAAGATCATGGGTTGGTCAAAGGGTAGTCAAGCTCCACTGGCTGTAGTGAAACCTGGATTAACACGCAATAAGGTAATGCTGTGTGTATGGTGGGATTGGTAAGGCATCGTTTATTATGAGCTTATACCGCCGGGCAAAACCATCGATTCGAATTTCTACTGGCAACAATTAATGACACTCAAACAAGAAATTAAGAAAATACGTCCGGAATTGATCAACAGAAAAGGAGTGGTTTTTCATCATGATAACGCCAGACCACACACGTTTCTCCACTCAGCAAAAATTGAGAGAGCTTGGTTGCGAAATGTTATGCATCCACTATATAGTCCTGACCTTGCACCCTCAGATTTTGACCTGTTTCGGTCTCTTCAGAATTCTTTGGGTAGTGTATCAAGAGAGGACTGTCAAAACTGCTTGTCTCATTTCTTTGATCAAAAATCTTAAGATTTCTACAGTAACAGAATTATGTCACTAACTACATATGTAACTACAAGATGGCAACAAGTTATCGAACAAAACGGCACATATGTGTTATAATTAAATGTAATTAAAGTTTGAAAAAATGTCTTGTATTTGTAAATAAAATGCGAAGAAACATTTTCCCCGACCCGAAACATTATTGTATTTAAATCCAGGCTTTTTAATGAATCAGATTTCTTTATTCAAAACAAAATTGGCTACAGTGGTCATGGCTCACTCAAGCTTGTGCGGTACGCGGCAAGGCGGAAATCGCGGATACGACGGTTGCAAAAACCGGACAAGCCAAACACCGTCTAATTTGATCGAACACCCATCCAAAAAGTCTAACCTTATCCCGTTTTATTCGGACGCATGTCAACCCTACCGTACAATACGATAACCCCATCGTATAATACGGGCATCGTCCTTTCCCGGTCTAGCCGACCAATTCGCGCTGCAACCGTAATATAACTGCAGCCTGGCTAAACCACGTATGAAGATTTTATTTGTGTAAGAGTAATGATATCATATTTTCATGTAATAGTGATTACAGCAACCACATCCAATGATACCTCTATATATTATATCAAAAATGCACTGTTTTACATTTTATCGTGCCACCGCTGGTTTGTAGATTAACTTGTAATAAAGATAATAAAAGAATTACTTGTCATTTTTGAGAACTGGTAATAAATAAGAGCGGATTAACCACAGAATTTAGTTCGAAAAATGGCGCGATCGGTGGTAGCTCTACTCCTAATCGCGGCCTCTCTTGTCTCCGGTGACCGGCATGATAAATATGAAGGGTACGTATTTTCTACCGACTTCAAAAAGGAGACTGTACTCAATTCGACTGTATATTTTTTTCTTTTTTATGTGTGTTACCTCATAACTTTTTTCTGGGTGAACCGATTTCGATTATTCTTTTTTTATTTGAAATCGTGTGCTTCTCATGTGTTCCCATATAAATTTGATCAAGGTCTGACCAATTGTTATAAGTTATTCTTAATAATTTATGTTGAAGTGGGTTGTACAAAATTTTTAATTTTAAAGAAGTTCCTAAAGGAACTCCATCCGCGGCTGGTCGTTGCTGCTGGTGATAAGAGGGCTGGTTCTTTTCTCGCTCAAAGGCTAAGTATAGCTATTCAGCGGGGAAACGCAGCCAGCGTTCTTGGCACGATACCGCGGGGAGTAGGACTATATGATAAAGTTTCTAGTTTTAGTTTTTTTTTTATTATTATAATTTTTAATATTGTATATAATAAAATATTGTATATTATGTTATGTATTAAAAAAATTATTGTATTGTGACTCTTATATTCTTATTTCTTATATTTCATCAGATTTCACAAAAATTATAACTACGAATACCTCCAGAAGTAATACAGAAAAAATTGTAGTGTTCAAACTTACTAGGTATACCTACAACAGCTACTGAAGATCTTACAGTATAAGCATTTAGGCTATGTTGGAATGGTTAAAAAAATAATTTGAATCTTTGATATGTAACATTCTTATATACGCTGCAGAATACTTGCGTGAAATATCACCATAATGTAGATGTTTCTATGTATTTCTAATTAGTCTGTGATGTTGAGTGAGAGTTTTAGCGGACTTAAAATGAAGGATATTACGCAGATTTATTCTTTATTGTTCTTTTCCTGCATATTAGAAAATGAAATTTTGTTTAAGCCACTATTTGCCTTGTTTTTGTCCATTTATGTTTTTCTTCTTGTGTCCTACTGAGCTGTTACATACATGCCAGTAGGAACACTTTCATGCGTGCATGTCAGTCTTAGTTTGCAGGATGAATATTAAATGAATTGTCTATCGTATGTAACGAGTTAACGTGGGTCACGTTCTATTTACAAATGATTTTGTACTAGATAGTATCGATAAATTAAATTAGAATGCAGGAATAATGCCTGCACAGTCGTATTCCCGTTTTTTTGACCTAACCCCCAACAACTAGGAATATCCTCGTCCCCCTATAGATTGCCTCTAATGAGGAATTTTGCCATAGCAGTCAAGCTTGGCAGGCGGGTTTGCAACCGCAGTTTATAACCGACTTCAAAAAGGAGGAAGTACTAAATTCGATTGTATTTTTTTTTTTAATGTATTTATTTTACCTCATAACTTTTTTCTATGTGCACCGATTTCAATGATTGCTTTTTATTTAAAAGCTGGTGCTTTTCATGTTTGTAATCAGTTTAATTTAATCAGTAGTTTTTGAATTATCCTTAATAACTTATATTGAAGTCGATTGTACAAAATTTTTAATTTTACCACTTGTACTTTAAAATTATTTTAAAAGTACTGTCAAATTAACAGCCACAACAAGGTAATACATGGTAATACGAGAGCCGTATAATATACATAAACTAACTATTTTCCCTGCGGTGTTACCCATGTCGAAGTTATAAAGTCCAGGCAGTCATGACCAACGTTTATTATGAGGTCGCATAATACTGACAGCTCCGCTTGAACTCTCAGTATTATATCACGTAGAAACTTTCCCAGATTTCGGAATGATAATGTTCGCAGGTTTTAAGTAAATCTAATGCTTTTGGTGTTATCAAAGATACAAATAAAATATGGCGAAATATCGAATGTTTCATCCTTGATTTCACCCCCTTATGGATAGAATTGTTAAAAATACAGAAACACGTATCTTTATTTGAACACCCTCAGCTACGTAAGTGAATTATTTTTAAAAAAAATCGACAAATATGTACCCTTTTATTATATTTATCGATTACTTTCAGTAACTTTCGAGTTGATCGTCCCGTAAAACATTCATACAAACTGTAACACCCTAACAATCCTTTCTGAGTGGATGCCTACATAATAAAAGGAACCTATTCTTCCAATTTCACACTTCTACGTCCAGCGGCTTCGGCTGTGATTCTTTTCATAAAAACTTCGCAACCTCGTTTGCAGGTTGCATTTATGAAAAAAAAATATTTATATTTTATTATTTCCAAAAAAAAATATTTATATTTTATATTCAAGATAGTTTCTTCATAGATTTTTTTAATTTGTTTAATTTATACAGTACTTTCAGTGAGTTTCAAGTGATTGACTTGAAACTCATAAAATAAAATGATTTATACAAACTGTGACACCGTATTTCATCCTCTTAGAGGTTGCATTTTCAAAAATCCTTTCCTAGCGGATGCCTTTTTATTAGAAAGGGGCTCACTCTTGACCTCCATCTAACCCGGGGGCAAAGATGAGATCTTGGATGCAGCGAGTTTGTCCAGGAGAAGCCTGTTCACACGCACCTTAAAGAGTTGCAGGTTACACGCACCTGAAAAAACAGACGCTGGCAGGACATTCTACTCGTTGGCTATGCGCATTATAAAAGATACTTAAAGCGCTTATTGCGAATGTTCATAAAACCCGCAATACTTCATAAAAAGAAGCTACTGTCCAAATTTCAGATTTCTCCGTCTAGTGGTTTGCGCTATGCATCTAGAAATAATTCAGACACTCAGGATATCCTCTTTTATTTATATATACATATATAAATAGATTGCAAGAACAAACATCAACAATTAGGAACGCACGGCATAACCTCTCGTTTGTAAGAATTATAAGTAGTAGGTAAGAACGTGAACATAATTCAACATAGCCACCAAACTAAATAATGAGACACGTCTTCGCCTTGGCCCAGTTAAGGGCTTCTAATAAGCGATAGCTACCAACATTTAATTACTGTATGCATAACGAGTTCTTCCGGAAATATTGGAATTTCCTTCTGTAATCAGATCTGTTTTCCTCCTCAGACACCCCTCAAGCATAGATAATGTCATGACATTTTAGATCTACAATAGGGTATATGAATATTCTAATTTCCGTCGTCATAGATGATTACAGACTATTTTGGTCCACACAACACATACAGCTTATTACAACATGATATGTTTCATTTTGAACCAAAATTATAAACATATATTTTATTGTATTATAGATATTTTTAGATTATATATTTATATCTGTACATTGCATAATACATTTAGTTAGCTTGGGCTGTAAAATAAAGGTAATAATATTAAATACAACATAAATAACTGCCCAGATTATATTTCATACTGAGATAACACCAAATCCACCCAGCTTAAAAAGAGCTTATGTCCAGCAATTATATATATATGATATATAATATATGACGTAAGCTAACTAATATTTTGACAATATTCTTACTGTCGAAAAAACAACTAACACAATTCCTAACGTACACGTTATAGCATTAACGTACTTTATCATTATTGTCCAGTCACCAACTGTACCGTGTAGCGGGACCTTCACAAGAAATTGGAGTATTAGAAGCCCATCTAGACATCATATCGCTAACACCAGCAGCTCGTTCATCGTCTGGACAACTTGAGGCCTTGGTCAGGCTATCTCCAGAGGATAAACAAAAATGGCTGCAACACTTCAATAAAAAGCAAATATCGTACACTAAGATGGTCGATAATGTAGCAGAGTAAGTAAATTAAGGCATTTTAATATTTTCCGTGATAATTAAAAAAGTGATGTTCACCTTATTGTTCTTAAGAAATATTTTCTAATTGATCATCATCATCATTATAAATTATCAAAAATCCATTGTTGGACATAGGATGGATATTTGCCATAGTTACCACGCAGAGTTTTTATTATTTTTAGTTGTAATCACGAAAATGCTGCTGTCCATCTCCTGTTTCATATGCCTCTACCTCTTGATCCCCACGGAATAATATGGGGTAGTGGACTGGAGTGGAGTCCTGTCAACAACCTTCAACACAACAATTTCAAACTTCTTCATCGGGCGGCCATGGGACTAATTTTTAATGTCAAATTTTCTCAAACAAAAGCTGTTGAACCAATAACAATAATACAGCTCGTTGTTTAGTAGTGCTAGGTTCATATAAGTATTTAATATAACGTGCCGTTAGAGACGCGTTGTTTCCATGTTTCAAACACGATTTTTTAAATTCATAATTATAAATATAGCTATATGGCAGAAAAACTATAGAAAGAAATAACAGCTAATTTTGAAAAAGAATAACATACAAAACTTGAATTAAAATTATTTGAATTTAGAGTTTAAAAGCTAGCTAACTAACTAACCTAACTAACCGCTTTAAGTAGCTACAGCTACTCAAAGCGGTTAGTTAGGTTATATGCTCTAAGTGGTCATTTTAACTGCAATTTCCTAGTAATGACTAAGACATAAATTCATTAATGATGAAAATGTTATTTAAATTGAATTAAGTCTTCAATAGGTTTTTCATTCTTAATCTAATCACTTTTCTAGTATTCTACGCGATGAAGAAGCAAAAAATATAAGAGCAAAGTATGACTCGAAACAAAATGGCAGCTCAATCTGGAACGCATACCATGGACATGAAGAGGTATGACAACGGAAGGAATCATTTTTTATTTGTGCATAAGGCATCCAAATTTTAGACCCTTAAATATCTTACAGATAAACAATTACCTGGACGATCTAGCCAAGCAATATCCGGACCTAGTAACAGTTGTAAACGCAGCGCTGACTTACGAAGGTCGTCAGATCAAATACGCGAGGATATCTACAACACGATTCGAAGACCCCAGGAAACGCGTAGTTGTCATTGATGCTGGCATGCATGCTCGTGAATGGCTCCCAATACCCGTGGCTCTAAACGTTATCCATCGGTTGGTGGTCGATATAGTGAATAACCCCCAGATACAGCTATTGGACTGGGTGGTCATTCCATTAGTAAACCCCGATGGCTACGAATATTCAATTGCAGAGGTAAAAAAAAATCACATTTTTTTTAGTATTTTAGCCGACTGCAAAAAAGGAAGAAGTATTTGCCTGTATTTTTTTCTCATATTTGTATGCATGTTACACGATATCTTTGTCAATTGTTTACCGTATTTAGTTTTTAATGAGTCTTTTTTTTCAATAGTTTTCTTCAGGAGTGGTCCCATTTTTGTAATTGGGAATGAATTGTTAGAAATGTAGTATTTTGGTACGTGGTAGAGCCATGCTTCAGCTATATTAGTAGTATAGTTGTAGCACGATTGGGTCGGCTCGACCGGAAAAGGACCACGCTCTCACAGAAAACCAGCGTAAAATAGCAGCTTAACGCTGCTGTGTTTCGTATGGTGAGTGTAGAGAACCGGAGACCCCTTTTACTGGCAAAGAGGCATTCCAACTTAGTTCTCACGGGTGACCACGCATCTGCATCTTGAGTCTTTATTGAGGATAGATGTAGATGTCTATGGGTCACAGTAACCACTTACCATCAGGTGGACTGTGTGCTCGTTTGTCACCCTATACTATAAAAAAAATTATATGTATTATATGAAGTAATGTAGTAATTTTTAATTTAACTACTTATTCTAGTTATTTCCTTCAGCTTTTTATTTTCCTTGGTCCACTGAAAATGTTCAAAAATTAAACTTTTATTAAAAGTAAAACCCTACTTAAAATAACTTAAAAAATATTTATACAGTGGTAGAGCCACGTGGCGGCTTTTGCTGTCGCACGGATGCGCCGGCTCGAACCGGGGTGGTACCACGACCTCACAGAATACCAGCGTGAAGTAGAGGTTTACCTCTGCGTTTCGCTTGGTGAGTGCAGGTGGCCGGAGGCCCTTTTTACTGGAAATGAGGCATTCCATCTTAGTCCTCACGGGTGACAACGCATCTGCATTTTGATTTGTAATAGAGGATAGATGTAGATGTCTATGGGCCGCAGCAACCACTTACCATCAGGTGGACTGTGTGCTCGTTTGTCACCCTTATCCTATTAAAAAAAATTAAATCTATTATCTTTATCACCCTTCTTATGTAGTCTTAAAGTACTTTATATCTACTCTAACATCGTATTTTCAGGATCGCTTGTGGAGGAAAACACGCTCCAAGGCACGACCAAATAACGACACGTGTCCAGGTGTCGATGTTAATCGCAACTTCGATCACTATTGGGGCACCAAACTTGACAATGTTATGCCGTGTTCTCTTACTTACGAGGGACCGTCTTCCTTCTCCGAACCAGAAACTCGCGTAATAAGAGACGTGATTAAGTCAAATTTAAACCGAGCCGTACTATACATTTCGTTGCATAGTTATGGAAGTTTAATAACTTATCCCTGGCGAAACAATGGTAAGTTATATGGCACTATACTTCTTTGCAAAGTGTAAAATGTATATTTAAATACAGATTGTATAAGACAATGTTTTATTATATTCAAAAAACACACAGCTTCAAGGCTCATTGGCCAAACGCGTATTCCGAACGAATGATGCCCGCACCAGATCTCGCTTCAGCAATTCCTCGCAGCATGACGAGGGCATAATATGAATCATGTTCTTCATTTTAAAACGTTGAAGAAAACCTGGAGTATAAGTTAAACTTTGATAGCCGAAATGCTAAAATGATAAAAAAGTTCAATTGTAAAATGAGCTTTGCTAGCAATTTGTCATTGCAATTTGTTTTCATGTCACTATGAAGACATCAGATTGAGATATTTGCAGTCTGATTTCTAATATATAAAAAGTTTGCTTGAAAAACAAAACCTTTGGTAGAAATTTTAAATACACGTGGGTTCGATTCCCGAGTATATTTGATGAGACACACGATTACATTTTATTGCGGATCCTATAAATTTGTTTGACGGGTCTTTCGTAAAATCCGTTCTTAGTGAGCGTCTACATTGCAAAAAGAGTAAATATACTTAATTTCAAGTCAATCGGGTGTATAGTTTTAAAGATCTCATGACGAGTCAGTCAGCCAATGATATTTCGCTTATTTTAGCATTAGCATATAGATTAGCGCAAACATTTTGAATCCTTACAACGAATAAAATATTCTTACTAACCAGGAACTCGATTCCAGTGATCTATAATTAACAAAATAACACGTGGTATTCATTTATTGCAATTTGATTTGTTTGATAAAAAAATCACTCAAAGATAATTCACAAGTAGATTTTTTTAATTGAACCAAGTAAAAAGGCACCATATGGGATTGAACCAACTTTATTGTAAAATTATAAAGTAAATAAAGTTCATTCTATTTTCTTCAGGTACTCTTCCTCCGAACGGTCTCCTCCTTAATGTTGCCGCATTAAAAATGGCGACAGCAATGGACGAACTTATGAGTGTCACAAGAGAACCTTACACAATTGGCAACGCCGCTTATATCCAGTACTTCACTACTGGAACTTCTACTGATTGGACTCGGGCTGTTGGTGTTCCTTTCACTTTTAATATTGTACTGCCTGTTGACGGATATGTTTTCCCGCCAGAAAATATCGAACCTATATGTGACGAAGTTTGGGAAGCTATTATCGACGGAACCGAATACATTTTGTCTCTTTACTAATTTCTTTGTAAAAAATATATAATTTAATTATACTAAGCAGCGTGTCATTTAATTTCTGCATTAGCTAATATAGTTCATATTATGTAGCCTTGTAGAGCGCATGAACAGTGTGCATACCAATTAACCACTGATGACTAAAATAGTAGTGACAGTACAAATATTTTTAAAAATCGTAAAATTATTTATTAGAAGTAATTCCAAAACACAATTTAATTTAAAATAAAAATAAATAGCTAAAGCAAGTGTAAATTTAACAATCAAATTGTGAACAAAACAATTTGTGACGATAATTAACTTACAAGTTTGCATGCGTGCGTGCGTGCATGCACATTGAGAAATGAATATCATATAAATCCTATAAAAAGAAGAAAATAAAGTTTAAATTAGGTCAAACCCATCAATTTATTAGATTACACAATTTATAAGATATTAAAGCTTTTCGCGAGATCTACCTATTTTTACGACATCAAACTAACCCTAACATTTGCCGAGTTATAACTTTTTTAAATTGGTATGGCGGCCATGTTTTTCGCTTTTTTTACCACCGCTAGAATTTGCCCAGGGCATAGGTCGATATTAGTTAAGACACGTCTCCGCAAAGTCTTACTATTTACTCGGGTAGATAGTACACCATCACCTCGAAGAGCTGAACGCGGACGTCATTTTATTCATATTCTTCTCAGCGAATCCTTTCATTTGATTTCTATATCATGGGGCTAAATAAAACTACATAGTACGCCATCTTTGGGAGTCCACTATATTGGTTTTAGAGTGACTTCGTTTTATTTTTGTATTCTTCTCGTCACACCCTTACATTTGATATTCATATCATGAGGTTGAATAAAAAAGGCGGCCAAGTGCGAGTCGGACTCGCGCATGTAGGTTTCCGTACCATCGTAAAACACGTTTCTAGGAGGGGAGCCCCCATTAATTTTTAATTTATTTCATTTTTATTATTTTGTTGTTTTTTTTATAGGATAAGGGTGACAAACGAGCACACAGTCCACCTGATGGTAAGTGGTTGCTGTGGACCGTAGACATCGACATCAAACAAAATGCAGATGCGTTGTCACAGTGAGGACTAAGATGGAATGCCTCATTTCCAGTAAAAGGGTCTCCGGTTCTCTACACTCACCATACGAAACACAGCAGCATTAAGCTGCTATTTTACGCTGGCATTCTGTGAGAGCGTGGATCCTTCCCCGGTCGTGCCGACCCATTCGTGCTACAACTATACTACTAACATAGCTGCAGCATGGCTCTACCACATGTTGTTATAGCGGCAGTTGATATTTTCAAAGAAATATACATTCTGTGAAAAAATTCCCATTGCGTCCAACTCGACTCTTGATGACGGGGGAAAAACACCGCCGACCATCCCGCGATGTGAGTGTTCCATGCCGGATGTGCGATTCTCACAGCGCTTGGTTCGCATAGTACTCCTCTCCCTGGACATACACAAGTAAGTAAGTAATGGTCAAATATTAATACATGGTTAGGGAGAAATAAGGCAGATGTGGATTTAGTAATTAAGAAGTACTTGGGTAGAAATTATAGTTTATATAACATTTGCACAAAATTTTCTAAAACATTTACTAATGAAATATTAGACATTAAGCATACTTGTAATTTAAAATTTTTAGATAGAAATATGTACGTTACACAGAGCGAAGTGTCTTTTAGGTTTAAGAAAGTGAAATCATGTGACATAGAAAAAGTAATTGATAAATTGCACCATAAAAAAGCACCAGGTTTGGATGGGATTAGGGTGAAAGATTTAAAGTTAGTAAAGAAAAAAATAAGTCCAATACTAGCCCATTTTGTTAATATGTGCTTGTCAAAAGGTGTTTATCCTGACTTATTAAAGAAAGCAATTGTTCGTCCCATATTTAAACACGGAAGTCATTTAGACTTCAGTAATTACCGGCCAATAGCCATCTTATCATCGGTCAATAAGATTGTTGAAAAAGTGGTTGTTGGCCAAATAACGGACTTTTTGGAAAAGCATAGTATATTATCAGAGGCACAACATGGATTTCGAAAAAATCGTAGCACAACTTCTGCACTTACACTATTTTCAGATACAATTAATGAATATTTAAATGATGGAAAACAGGTTATGGTTTTGTTTATTGATTATAAAAAAGCCTTTGACACTTTGGACCATAATATATTATTGCAAGCGATGGAGGAGTGTGGAATCAGGGGCCCTACAAATAACTTTTTTCGTAGTTATCTATCTAATAGGACGCTCCGTACTGTAGTTGATGGTGTTGTGGGAGAGGAGGCCCGTATTAGCTTGGGTGTACCGACTGGTTCTGTTTACGGTCCTGTCGGTTATATTATGCATGTAAATAGTGTATCTAATGTAATAAAAAATTGTCAAGTGTATATGTATGCAGATGACATGTGCTTGCTATTTGCCTCTAAAGAAACAAAAGAATTGCAAAATAATATACAGAGTGACTTTGAGAATATAACAAAGTGGGCCCATGATAATGGCATAATCCTTAATTTTAATAAAACAAAATGCATGCATATACACTCTCCATATAATGCTGCAGCGAAAAACATAACATTAAATGAGATGGCTGTTGTGGGCCACTGTTTTGAGTGCTTACATAATAATAAAATGAATTGTAATTGTAAAGAAATTGAATTTGTTGATAAGATTAAGTATTTAGGACTGGTAATTGATCAAAACTTTAATTGGAAACCTCAAATATCTGATGTATGTACAAGGCTGTCAGTGATATTAGGTAAATTCTATTTTTTAAATTACATTTTGAACAAAAAATCTATGTACCTTCTATACTATGCTTTGGTGGATTGCCTCATAGGTTATGGACTTGGTGTTTACGGTCGCACTTTTGCTTCTTATATAAAGAACATTAAAAATTTACAGACTAGATTTCTAAAATATCTTGTAAATGAAAAAGTTAAAGAAAATTGTAAGAAAGATTATAATAAGTTATTCTATATTTGTAAAATTTTACCGGTAGAACACAAAGTTAACATGCTATTAGTTTTGGAAAACATTAATAAAAATCATTATAAAGAAAAAGTGGATAATAAATATAGAACCAGGAAAGTTAGAGAAGGGAAATTAGTTGAGCCTAGTGTTAAAAACTACTATGGTAAAAGATGTACAAAATACTTAATACCAAAGCTTTTTAATGAAATAGATTGGATAAGGCAAGGTAGACCTGAGTGTAAAAATACAAATAAAAAAAAGCTTAAGAAGTATTTTTTAGAGAAAATAGAAAATACATGATAGCGTATTTATACGACAATTTGTAAAAGTTATAATATTAGAATTACTAGAATACAAAAATAATAGTGTTTATACTTAGGATTTATTTGCTATATTATGTGGGTGGGGTACTTAATTATGTAATAGATGGATGCAAGAGTGCAATTATTCGCCAACAAACTGTCTTTACAGTTTGGCGAAGTTTTAAAATAATGTTATGTTTTTGTAAATGTTGGTAAATAAATAAAAAAAAAAGTGTGCCTGACGGAATCCTCCCAATTGTGCTGAGGACGTGTGCGCCAGAATTGGCACCGGTACTAACACGTCTTTTCCGGTACTCTTACTCATAGTTACACGATTTCGGGACTATAGGCATAGTCCCGAAATCGTGGAAGACAGCTTTTGTCCACCCGATCCCTAAAAAAGGCGACCGCTCAGACCCGTCCAACTACAGGCCTATCGCCATCACCTCCTTGTTCTCCAAAATAATGGAATCCATTATAAACTGCCAGCTCATGCGGTACCTTGACGATCACCAGTTGATTAGTGACCACCAATAAGTTTTTCGTCAAGGTCGATCAGCTGGTGATCTTCTGGTCTACCTGACTCATAGATGGGCGGAGGCAGTGGAGTCCAAGGGGTAGGCATTGGCCATTAGTTTGGACATTGCGAAGGCTTTCGATCGGATTTGGCACAAAGCGCTTCTTTCGGAGTTCCCTACCTATGAGCTTCCCGAGAAATTGTGCAATTGGATCACCAGCTTTCTTGCAGATCGGAGCATCAAGATCGTTGTAGACGGTGCATGCTCCGACTACAAGCCTATTAACGCTGGTGTTCCACAAGGCTGCGTGCTATCACCAACGCTGTTTCTTCTGCATATCAATGATATGTTACAAACCGGTAACATTCATTGCTATGCGTATGACAGCACTAGTGATGCTCTATACACCGGCCGTGCCAGTATTTGTCGGGAAAACGTCACCGAGTATCGGAACAAACTTATGTCTGAAGTCGAGTCTTTGCTGAACAAAGTTTCGAATTGGGAGCGACTAAATCTAGTCCAGTTTAATCCTCAGAAGGCACAAGTTTACTCGTTTACCTCTAAAAAGAACCCTTTTGTAGTACTTCCTCAGTTTCAAGGCACTCCCCTTGTTGCCTCAGCTAGTATCGGAATCCTCGGCGTTGAGATATCGCGTGACGTGCAGTTTCGTGGTCACTTGGAAGAGGAGGCCAAATTGACCTCTAAAAAGCTTGGCGTGTTTAGCAGAGCGGGACAGTATTTCACGCCGGCACACCGCCTGCAACTTTACAAGGCGCAGATTCGGCCTCACATGGAATACTGTTTCCATCTCTGGGCTGGGGCTCCCCAGTGCGAGCTCCTTCCACTTGACCGCATCCAGCGCAGAGCGGCTCAAATCGTTGACGACCGAGTCCTTTCCGATCGGCTCAATTCATTGGCGCTGCGAAGAGATGTTGCATCCCTTTGCATTTTCTTTCGCATTTACCACAGGGAGTGCTCCGAGGAATTGTTCGGATTAATCCCAGCCGCCAAATTTCACGAACACACATCGCGGCAAAACTCCCGATATGGTATCGGGAGTTTTGCCGCGATGTGTGTTCGTGAAATTTCCGATCGGCTCAATTCATTGGCGCTGCGAAGAGATGTTGCATCCCTTTGCATTTTCTTTCGCATTTACCACAGGGAGTGCTCCGAGGAATTGTTCGGACTAATTCCAGCCGCTCAATT